TTCCGTACTGAGCACCAATGCTACCGATGCCAGGGAGGCAGTTCCCACACCTGGACCCTACTTATCGACCCATCAATTCATGAACCAGGGACCAACGGCTTTTCTTCCCTTCCTAAGGAAGGCTTGATCAGAGATGTTATGCCTCAGAAAATCCCAACGGCACCTACTGGGATTAAACCCGGGCCCTTTGGGGTGAGAACATTTTTTTTTTAGTTTGAGATTAATCCATTCTCTCAATGGACTCATTTCTCTACGTGAATAAGAAGAAGAAGTTCTTAGTGACAAAAACAAGCAATGAGGCCGTTCGCAATACTGAGTTTCAAAATTGTTTCAAACTACTCGACAGTTCCAAACTATAAAATTGTCAAAAATGAAACTTCAACACGATCAAAGCAACGCACAGTTATAAAAGGTGTTTGGTATTCATCCGCACATATGTGTGCGTGTACAAAGTTTGTTTGCTTCGGTAATTTTAGCCTGAACCTGATTTAGCATGAATCTGATCACCTGATGGCGTTTGGAATAATTGCTGAGGAACCTGGTACCGTAAGAGAACCTCTGAGAGACGTGATTTGAATTATTGGTCAGTAGAAGATCTTCAGAATAATTGATCCACCAAAGTATTGAAAAAAAATATCCAAAGAAATCTTTGGAGATCTCTAACCACCTATAGATTTTTGGAAAACAATAGAAATCACCTGGTTTTCTGAGAGAATATTTGAGAAACATTATTTGAATTGATGGACACTTTGGGATATTCATAATAGTACCTGATCAACCAGATGTCTTCAGAATAGTACCTGGCCACCCTGAAGACTTGAAAAAATATCCTGAGTGCTTTATGAAGATCTCTGATTACCTGAAGGGTTATGACATAATTTCTGAGTTACTTGTTATGAGAAAATATCTTAGAGATGTGATTTGATTATTTATGGAGATCGCCGATCACCTGATTTGCTTTGAAACAATTTCTGAGAAACCGGTATCATAGGTGAATATTTGAGAGACGTGATTTAAATTGTAGGACAGTTGAAAATCTTCAGAATAATACTGAAGGTGAAAGAATATCTAGAAAATGTGATTTGAATTGTTGAACAGTTTGAAAGATTAGTAACTGATAAATCTGAAACCTTGAAAAAGTAACCTGAGGTTATCATGGGAATCTCTGATCACCTGAATTTCTTCGAAATAATTGCTGAGCAATCTGGTATTATGGGAGGACATATAATAAACGTGATTTCAATTGTTGGAAAGTTAAAGACCTTTGAAATAATACCTGCTCAACCTGAAACCTTAAAAAAATAGCAATAGAACTTCACGGAGATTTTAGAATAACTGAAATTCGTTGGAATAATTTCTGAGCAGCCTGGAATCATATCTGATATCTTTGACTATATGTTTAGTATTACTTCTGCGTGAAGTCAACGATTTACATAGTTGAAGATGCTAATTTCAAATAACAGACTGAAGTGGAAATTTTTATACGGTAGCGCGAGGAGATGAAAGTATAGAACTGATAGTTTCGTTTAGAGTACGGCAGTGTGAAAATTGCATATAGAGGAGTAGACAGCGAGCTAGGATAACTTTTAGGAAGGTACCAGTGGCGTCGCGTCCACATGTGCAACCTGTGCACGACACAGGTGTAAATAATTTTAAAACATTCGCACCTCTCACCATCCCTCTCCAAAGGGGTAGTTTGGTAAAGAGCTGCCCCTGAACCATTTTAAATAATGTTATCACCAATCGACCAGAAATATTTCTACGCATCGATAACAATGCTTTCGACTGTTGATTTTCAAAATGAAACTATTGAAAAAGTGGTAAATGGCAAGCATTAACCAAAAGCGTCGAAATAACTAACAAATCCACCTATTACGTACATGCACATGCTGCTTTCCCAACACTGTCATCAGAAAGTCGTTAGTAGACGAAACAAGTCGAAGTGACATTCGCCTCCGATCTTCGGGCGTGTACGAATAAGGAAGATGCAATTGCGTAACATTGTGCACACTCATATACTCGCCATATTCAGAACCACACGCCCCCAACGACTACACAAAATGCTCTCCAGAGTTGTAATTTTGTAACCAAATTTGGAAGCAGGGATGCAAGTGATTTTGATCGATTATCTTGATCGACTTTCTGTTTAGTTAATAACTCGTCGGCAAACACATCCATTGATACGTTTGTTATTCTGGATGATAGAAGAGCATAGCAGAAATAGTGCGAAATAGGTTGGTGAAGCAATGGTCATCAAAAGAGGAAATCGATGCAGAGAATTGACTTTCACCCCTCTGATTCTAAGCCCTTTAATTCAGTTCTCGACATAGCAATGAAAACTAGCAACGCACCGCTTTTAGTTTTTGGGTTACACTTGCTGGTTGCAATTCTGCTGTTCGTCATTTTCGAAGGACCATCAAAAACCATTAAATTACACCAGGGATGTCATAAAGTCCAATTATTCGATTAACGATTAATCGTAAAGATTTTTCCAGCTATTCGATTAAATATTTATAGAATTTTCAATTATTCGGGGCGCGTAACCGACATCCCTTCTTATTTCTACTCGTTTGATTTAGCGCAGTAGAGAAAATAAATAAAAGTACTAATAGACATAGAGAAGAACCATGACGTGAAACAGGATCATAAATTAACCGAAAACGTCTTTCTGCTAAAGACTAAGATTTACCAACTTGTTGAGAGAAGGAGTTTAACGATAAAAACTAAAAAGCGAAGCAGCTTTAGCTGGGTGGACACTGATATTCTGCGGCTTTCCAACCTGTCGCAGACACCACCCTGTCCAACAGCAGATGGGCCGAAACTTTTGCGAGTGCCCAATCATTGAACCGAAGAATATGGGATTGTCCGGTCCGATTTGCTGATCCAGCTGCTTACACGTCATCATCATCTTCCATAGGCTTTAAGCCTCTACGATCATCGGCCCTTTTCAGGGGCACGCAATATAAAGAACCGGTGCGTTGCAGTTAAAATGCAATCAAAAGCACTTAAAGTACTTAATGCGTTTTAACTGGCGGTAATTAAGATTAACTATCCGTACTTATTGGAATTAAAAGTATTGAAAATGTAATTAATGTACTTTAATTACGAAATTGCGACTGTAATTAATGGACTTAAAAAGTAGTTAATGTTCAATGTGTAATTAATGTAGTTAAAGCAGTAGTTAATGGAATTAATTTAATTACAGCCGTTGCCTGCGTCGGAGTTAAAGGTTATTGCGTGCCCCTAGGGGCCACCAAGATTTTCCAAAAGAGTTAAATTTATGAACATGTCCCAACACAAAATTCATATGAAAAGGTTCTTTTCAGGTAAATTATAGGCATACTACTAAAGAATATAAACAGAGAGAACCCCGCTCAAATTCCTATTTCTACACAAAACAATCCACTGCTGTAGTTAACAAATAACATTTATTATATAATACCACGTAGTCCTACGTCACTGTCACTTGTAGTTTTTTTAAATACAATTTCCATCAAGTTTACTATTCTTTATCAAATTCTCCGATTGTTTTTGGAAGCTCTTTTTATTTTAATGAAGTTCTCTGAATTTCTATAAAATAGCCCAAAACTGCTGTAACCGCTGTAACATGCTCAGAAATAAAAAGGATTGGTCGAACAGTTCCAGATCTGGTGCAAAATTGTGCTCGAATAATGAAACTGCAACCTAGAAACTTGCGTGGAGAGCGTTTCTGTTCTAGATTATTGAAATGTTCGCATTGTGAAGCATACAGTAATTAAATCATATAATGAAATGATCATCGGTTGCTCTGCAATTTAAAATCCCAGTAAGTATTTGATAATAAAGAAATATGTGTGAGTAAATTAAAAGCTGGGTTATTACAAAACAGTCACACAAAACAAAATTAAAAAGATTTTAAACTACTCGTTTTAAAATGAGTATGACGCTACATCCACACAAAAAAAACAAACAGTTTAATAAACTAAAGACCTAGATGTAAGGTATATAAAAAAGAAATCAATCAATCTATTCATCGATAGCCAAGGCCGAATCGATTCTATCAGCGCATTGCATCGCCAAAGCACTGCTGCTTGAATTTAAAAGGCCCGAACTGAGAGTTAAGGTCATTCGTTAAATCTATTCTACACTGTGAAGCAATGGAGAGCTGGTAATCGAACCCATACACAAGCTTCATCCAATCGAACGTACGAGAAGCTTCTCGGGTCTTATTTTTTAACGAATGAGGAAAAGGCCGGTCTTTCAGTACCGGTATGGCTAATCACATGGGAATGAACTGATTCTACTTTAACATGGTTATTATGGTTATGGATTTTCTCATGAACTGATAGTACTATTAAACAAAGCCCACAGAACAGAACCTTTTTGATAACTCCCAACTAGCACGCACGAACTACAGCGACCTTGAAGCATGAAATCTGCCATGTTTGCGATGTTCTGTCCATCTACATACAACAGCCTATATCACATACATTCACAAAGACACGGTACCATACCCGTATCTACGCACTAGGCACGGCTCACTGCAGGAACAACGCCCATTATTTGGTGAGACTCAGAACCATAGTAGGGAATTGTTTACCACTGTTACTTTACACCGTATCGAAAAACTACAAATCTCTACACGGTTGCATTTCGATCAGCATGATGCACCGTGTAATTAATGTTGCTAAAAATAGTCACAAACACCCCATCAACAATGCTAATTGCGACATTTTGGGGTGTCGGTGAGTTCGTAAACATTACGCAATATTCGGGTCTTTGACTTTTCGGTAGTTGAAATATTCCGACATTTTCGCCGATTTCCAATTGTACTTTTTCCAAATTCGAAATAATATCCACTCCTTTAATCCAACATTCTGACATTATTTAACAGAGAATGGTTCATCTTCCGACATGTCCGTTCACGAAACAAGGTCTACGTGCCGATCGGACTGTGAGCACTTGTGCATGTTGAGTGTGCATTTTTTTCAATGACTATAGCGAGCTCGCTGGACACCTACCTCGTCATCGTTTCACAACGTCATTCAAATTGTCGGACTTTGAACTACCTTTTCGCACTTGGAAACACGTTAGATAAGCTTCAAATTGCACAAAATTCTACTATCATATCACCATCCATCAAAACAATACACACGAGATCGAATTTTACTATCGCGAAAAATTTCTTCGCCAACTTGTTCTTCTTGCTGCTGCCACTACTAGATTGCTGACTCGTGAGATTTCTTTTTCTAGTACCAATACAAACTGGATTCTTCTCTCTACCAAAAAAAATAAAACACGATACAAGTAGGAGGTGTGTGTGCCCGCGAGCAAGAGCCTCTGTGGTCTCGCGTATTTACAGCATAAAAAGCATGCACGCGAGAGAGCACGCGTTTGCATAATTCTCCAGAGTCAGCAGGCGGCCATGTAGCACTGCGCGAGAGCGCGAGAGGAAACTGGCGATATCAACAAGCATACCCGCTACTGAATCATGGGTGGATTGTAAACATAGCTTCCATGCAAGTTATGTCTAACACAAGTTTGAATAGCAAGGTGTCGTTTTAAAATAAAAGTAATATTTTAATATTAAAGTTTTTCCAAATTTTTACTTTGACATAAGGTAGTGGAAATAGATGTAATGTCGGCCTAAATGCCTCTAATTTGGACCCATACATAAATTCAGCAATGGACTAGATTTACAATAGCGACCAAAAATATCCATTAGTACCGTCCCAATGACGGTTCATCTAGATAAAATTGATAAATAGCACAGGTATGATAATCACAACGTTCGCGGTTTAAGGATTTTCGTCATCATTAATTTCTCTCCCTTATACATTCCACATTTTTTGGTATCCAATTTTCTGGCATTGGACCGCAGCTCGGTATAGCTCATCCTCCGTTCATGCGGTCTCCACTAACCTCCTGTTACATCCCCGGTTGGGTGAAGGGAAAACAAATTTATGTTTCCTTTGTAAGACGGAAGGGCATCGGATGAATTCTCGCCTCAAGCCGAAGGATCGGAAGCAGCCAGACAATGACGAACGCAAGAAGAAAACGTACAACAGAATGAGGAAGATAGTAGGTACGATAGTACGTTCGCCTGGTGTAGTGACTGGAGGTGTATCGCCAAACGAGGAAGCAGTAGAAGTCCTGGAAGAAGAGGTTGTGGTGATGGATGTGACGTCCCCGAACGCCGTGAAGAACAGCGGAGAGAAACCAAGCGCTACTGAGAAGCAGCAGCCGCCTAAGTGCAAAATCATGCGTATTCAAGGAATCAAAAATGTCTCCAAATGACAAAATGAAAACCCAAGTAACAATTTCCAGTTGAAAAAACGCTTTCGTTTTGATTTTGTTCAGCTGCATGTTGAATAATAATTGCACAATGTGTTCACCACAACTTTTATAAAACCCTTGTTTACACTGGTTTGGATAACCTATACAACTGCAACACAAAGGTGTTGTCTAACGTATTCCGTAAAACGTTTACCCAAAATCAATTTCTTGTTGAAGAAACGCTTCCATTGTGATTTTATTCATTTTGATTTTGTTCAGCTGCATGTTGAATAATAACTGTACAATTTGTTTATTACAACTTCTGTAAAACTCTTGTTTACACTGGTTTATATAACCTGTTCAACTACAGCATTATATGTATACGCGGTATAGGAGTAGAAGCAACTTTTATACAACGTTTATAGATACATATTTAAACTCAAGCTTTATTATTTTTGTTAAAGCTCTTATACAACGTTTGTAGACACTTCTTGACAGCTGCTTTGAAATTTAGTAGAGAGTAAACCTGAGAGGCGTTTGTTGCACTCTTTTATGACTCCTAAATAATCATTGTACAGCAAGCGGTGAAAAGCGTTTATAGCACTTTTCAATGACACCTTAACAACCGGATAGAAGCAACGTTTATAGATATGTACATATTTAAAGTCAAGCTTTATTGCTTTGGTGAAAGCTTTTATACAACGTTTGTAGACACTTCCTGACAGCTGCTTTGAAATTTAGTAGAGAGGAAACCTGAGAGGCGTTTGTTACACTCTTTTATGACTCCTAAATATTAATTGAACAGCAAGCGGTGAAAAGCGTTTATAACACTTTTCAATGACTCCTTAATAACCGGATAGAAGCAACTTTTATACAACGTTTATAGATACATATTTAAACTCAAGCTTTATTGTTTTGGTGAAAGCTCTAATACAACGTTTGTAGACACCTCCTAACAGCTGCTTCGAAATGTATTAGAGATTGAACCTGAGAGGCGTTTGTTATACTCTTTTATGACTCCTAAATAATCACTATACAGCAAGCGGTGAAAAGCGTTTATAGCACTTTTTAATTACTCCTTAATAACCGTTGTGTAAGTACTCACAATATTCACAGATTAAAATTAGTTTAACAATTGTCGTGGTACGCCAAAATAATTGCTTGTACAGTTTTTATTAATTTAATTTATTTGTGCACATTGAAAAAATATGTAATTATGCCATAATTCACATTCTGTGATCATGGAGGAAGTAGTAACAAGCATCTGTTTAATCTTTGATTGATATTCTTTCAATTAATCTCACTAATCAATAATTGAGAGAATTTATATAGAAATGTTATCGTTGATTATATGATATATGTCTTAAATTAATGTTTGCATTTATTAATAACACCTATATATAATTTACCTCTACTCCACCGAGGGTTTCTCGAAGCAAGATTCGAACTCATGATCCCGGATTGCCAGCCGCTTCTGTTTCCATCTGCTCTATTCTTGAATACATATTTTGATCATATGAGAGAAGTATATGAAGCTCATCTTGAGTGACTTCTCTTGCAGTCGAATAATCATTGCCTTATGGTCATATAAACGTGCCTATCACTTGTGCTATTTTTAGCAACCAAATTGTGGTTGGTGGTTGGTCGAACTAAACAATCATTTAAGAGTGCTCCAAGCAGCTTTTGAAGCGTTTAACCAAAAAGGCAATACAACCATAGAGGTAACTCTAAGACCAGAAGGTCCCGAAGAAACGAGCTCAAATTTTTGGCTGGTACTATCTTCGGTCCCAAGCTAATCGATTCACCCCTCGAAACATAGGAAAATCCACTAACCCCTCATTTTATCTGTCAAACTTTCATAGCTAATCAAAACAAACATAGTGTAGTACTGGAATTTATACTATAATTGGGTACGTTAGTCGATTTGCTTGGGACCAATAGGCTAGTCAAGTAGTGAGCCAATTTAAAATCGTTAGTTTCGTATTGATTGTTGATACAACTACATTCTTGTACAACTCTGGAAGCTATAATTCAACGTTTGATCAACTCAGGTGTTTTATAAGAGCTCCCAATGGTTTGTTTTGATGCGTTTATTCCACGTTCAATATAGCTCTTGTCAATCGGTTTAACTAAGGTGCTATAAAAGTTATCGTAGGTCTTATAAAGCATATAGTTAAACCGAACGTAAACAATCATTTAAGAGTGCTCCAACAGCTTTTAAAACTTTTAATCAAATGGCAATACAACTACATTCTTGTTCAACTCTGGAAGCTATTATTCAACGTTTGATCAACTCAGGTGTTTTATAAGAGCTCTCAATTGTTTGTTGGGAAGCGATCAACGAAACGAATGATTACACTAGTTTACAGCATTTTTGAACTCGGTAAGGTGATGATCATTTCCAATGCAAAATCCTACGCTGAATTCAATGCCGTGGTCAGAAAAAATTAAAGTAGAGCAATTTTTGTGATATACAAAAATTTTGATTTTTTGAATTTTGGACAAAAGTACGATTACTAAAATGTCAATATCTTTGGAACTAGTGCACCAATTTTAAATTTTTTTTTTATAAAAATGAAGCTAAATAAATTTGCTATCGTTCACTAGAATATTATGTCTTAATTAAAAATTTAATTTTGAAGTCATTTAAAAATTTACAGCATTTTTTTTTTATTTTCCCTGCGAATTTTCCATAAAAATCTTGTTTTAATCAACATTTTTAATGGGATAAAAAGATTTAAAAAAAAATCATTTCATAAATTATTCTTAAAGTCCATTCAAAACCGGAGAAAATGAGCCTTTAATGGATGAAATCGGTTGGAAATTGTCGAAGTTATGAGCATTTTTGTAAAACACTTAAAAATGTTGCTGAAATACAACAGCTTTAGAGTTCCTTTTCTAGGTGTCGTTGTAAGCATCCAAATCGCATGTAAAGTTTTCATGGGAGATTATTTTCTCTACATATCAATTTGATTAAGGCATATCAGGATTTAAAACCGAGTTGATACAAAAGAAATTTATTTAGGTTTTATTAAAAATTATTGAGAATCGAATGACTTTGTCTTCAATGTTTTGAACTTGTTTCACGAATCAGAAACCAACAATAGTCACCCATCATTGCTTCATCCCAAAACCCTTGGTAACGACGTTCCATCATCTTCATTTGTTGGTGAAAACGTTCGCCGTGCTCATCACTCTCGTCACCAAGATTTTCCGGGAAAAAATCCATGTGAGAATGTAGGAAATGTATCTTCAAAGACATATTCACACCTGTGTTCAGTGAAAATGTTTTTGATTTATACCTATTTTCTCATAATTTTTGAGCAATTCATCGACGGCTTCCTCATAATCTGGGCTTCTGAAATTTCCTAAAAAGGTTGTGACAACACGCTGGAACGATTTCCACGCTTCTTCCTCATCTGGTGTCAAAACTGTATTGAATGCGGAATCATTGAGGAGTTTTTTGATCTGTGGGCCAACAAATACACCTTCCTTTATCTTTGCGTCAGATAAATTTGGAAATACTGATTTCAAGTACTGGAATGCCGGCCCTTCTTTTTGCAACGCTTTGACGAAATTTTTGAATAGCCCAAGTTTTATATGTAGTGGTGGAAGTATTATGCGTTCTTTTACCACAAGAGGATCATTTTTAACGTTGTCTTTACCAATTGTGAAATTATCCCGTTTTGGCCAATCTTTTCGGACGTAGTGTTCCTTACGAGCTCGACTGTCCCATTTACACAAAAAACACATATATTTTGTGTATCCCTGTTGCAATCCAGTCAACATGGCAACCACTTTAAGATCGGAACAAATTTTCCAATTGTGTTGATTGTAATTTATCAAATTGAGCAATAGAGCCATTGATTCATACGTTTCCTTCATATTAACGGCATGAGCTAATGGAATAGAAGGTTTCTCATTCCCTTGATGCAGTAAAA